ATAACTTAACTTAGTTACATCTTTTAAGTAACTAGTAACTAATTTAATAGTTACTTTCATAGTTATTTTATATATTTTAAACTTATTTGTCAATTTAATATGCGGTAATGTCCACTTGGCGCCACAAATATTTCAAAACATTTGATTAATCAGAAGAAAGAAATTTAATTAAAGCGTTCAATGAACTCTCGTACCTGTTTGTCTATATTTTAGGATCTAATGGAATCCGCCAATCAAAGCGCGTGAGAAATCGACGATGTATGTGTGTGTGTACGACAGTTTAGACTGTTTAGCCATGAAACCGAGCAGTATTTTAATTGATTTCTTTCTAAGAGATGGCTTTGCAATATGTTAGATAAATACCAGTAACCTTTCCACAAAACTATGTAAGATTGTAACCATCCTATAATCTTAATGTAATATCCGGTGCTGTGAGGGGATCGAACGTTTGCGAAGTCTAATATGGTTCCACAAAACTATGTAAGATTGTAACCATCCTATAACCTTAATGTAATATCCGGTGCTGTGAGGGGATCGAACGTTTGTGAAGTCTAATATGGCTTAGAAAGATTGCTGATGAAGATTCCGAAGAGAATCGTTCAAGATTCAAAATTTCAAAGATGATATCAACATATCGTATGGATTAACAAAATTATTTGTAAAAGATTTATTGCGCACCTCCGTTCGCGCTGACTGTCATTAGCCCAGATTTAGGTGTTTTTCATATAAATTATACTTCAATACGCAATCTATATCTCGCCGCTAAATTTGCTCACATACGTACACGCTCACGCCATCTAACCAAATCCTCATTAAAATATTAAATATCTTGAAATTTGCAACTTGTTTTTTTTTTTAAATATGTGATAGATATCTCATCTGTCACAAATGACTGATAATGTTAATAATAATACGTTCTTAGTGCATGAAAATTGTGAACGATCATGATTGCTACACTTTTACATAATGTCAAAATTGGAATAAAATTAATCTTTATCGTCGCCCATTATGACGGATGATACATCGCACGAGAATATTTTAGAACAATTATTCGATTGCGGTAAATTTATTTTCTCACGTTAAAGTAATCGGCACACAATGATCTTACAAACTCTTAATATAAAATCAATCAAACATATCACACATTATATATTATATTCTATTTTATAACATACGCATTTAATAATATCCTAATCAACATTTTATAAAAATTAAGAAAAAAATTATTTTTAGTTATTTGTACAGTACAATTAGGAGTAGAATGGGGTTCAGAGAAATTTCAATCAATGTGTCCTTCCAAGAAAAGTAAACCGAAAAAGGGATGTAAACCGGAGAAAACTGAAGAAGATACTGACATAGGTCCACCTTGTACGGAACAACAACCATACACACTTCCTAGTCAAATTTGTCCTAAATTGGTTTCTTGTTGTTATATAAAAATGCAGGTATAAAACAAAAAATCAAAAGTACACTGATGTTATCATACTTGCTAAACTGATTATTGGAAAAACATAAACTTTTTCTTCATAAACTTATTAAACAATTTTCTGCACTATTGTTATGCATTATAAATCGTAAATGAATAGGTCTACTATCCCGTTTGTGTAAGAAATATATCTTACAATTAAAATTAACTATAATTCACGATTAACCAAAATTAATTTTAAAAAAAGGTGACGAATTAGAAGACATTATTTAATACAAAGTTTTAAACACAGGCAGAGTGAAAAAGATAAAATGAAAAAGATACCCATATATATGTGAAATAAATTCTTATAATTTTTATACACGTAATAATTTCGATTAAAATGTTACATATCAACATTATCAACATATATACATTATTCTCAATTTTTTATTTAAAATTAATCAAAAATTTAATTAATTTTGTGTGTCTTGATAACCTTTTTGCATGTGTCTCTCTGACTTATTTTGTTCTTTGATTAAATTCTTCAATTACGATAATTTATAGGATCCTTATGCTCCATGCTGTTGCGAGACGAAGCCGCAACCACCCCCATGTCCTCCCAAATGTTATCGTCGACAACTGCGAGAACCAATCTGTGGTTGTGATCTCTGCAAAAAGGATGTCGACAGCAAGTGTTGTGAACCGATCACGGCTTTTCGCACTACAGCCAGCGATTTCAAATATTTCAAAACATAAAAATTTATAAGATTCCAGATCAGCTTAAACAGATTATATATTATATATGCAAAAATACATAAACAATAAACACAGATTAAGATAGAAAAAAAGATACTGAAGATAAGATTGCATTAATTACAATCACCAGATAATCAGATTTTCTGATATATTTTGTATACTTAAATACAGGGATGGGAAGTAACTCGTTACTTGTAACGAAGTTACAGTTAGAATTACAGTAACTGTAACTTAACTTCGTTTACTTTCTTTCCATCTGTAATTATAACTTAACTTAGTTACATCTTTTAAGTAACTAGTAACTAATTTAATAGTTACTTTCATAGTTATTTTATATATTTT